CCCGCTAATCAGTTGTGCAAATGTGACATTTTTGAGGGGCCATTTTTTTGTTTGTCGAGTGTCTTACATTTTATTATTTGCCATGGTCGGCTGGCTTTTGGCAACTTGCGGTGGGTGTGTGTATGGCCATTGGCCATCAGGGGTTAAGGGGTTTAAGGAATGACGCCCGGGCGGCTGCAGTCAATTTGCTTTAACACTTTGAGACAAAGCTCACAAAAGGGGGCTTAACGCCTTCAATACTCGTGCTCATACGTTTCGCCTACACTGCGACTCAAAAATTAAGCATTTTGAATCAAATCTTTTGTATTCATTATTTATAAAGTATATAGAAATTTCAGTTAGCAAATATTTAGAACTAACATGTTACTTTAAAGCGACAATCAGTAAAGAATTTGTTAAATTACAAATTTCAACATCTTTCTCCTTTCAAATTACTATATGTCTGCCGGATATAACTATTAACCATTTTCTTAGACAAAACCAGGGATATTAACACACATTCTACGAAACTTATATTCCAAATCTCACCCATCCATATTTAATTTAATAATATCCAACCAAAAACTTCAAGGCATACATTTTATTTATTGATCATAAATCAAGAACGCTCATTTGGCATAATTTTAAACAAGTTTCTAATCAATTAAGTTCTTAAAGAAGAGAAAAAGAGTTAGAATTCATTAGTCTTCATTAGTATAAAGTATGCTAGGATGAATCATCATTAAATATATTTAGTGATCAATTTGGAGGAGAAGCATTTCAAATGTTGTTAAAATATTTTTAAGCTTTATGCAGATTAATGAAAATTAAATGCTATTGTAAAGATCAAGAAGACAAATGGATAAGATTGCAAATTAATTTGGATTTTTCCCATGCCACTTTTATGGGAAAATAGCTCAAGGGAATGCAAATAAAATTATTATTTACAATATTGAATTTATTTATGTTCGCTTGCAATCATTAATAACTAATAAAATATGTGAGCATTGCTTGTGTCCATTGGATATCATTTGCTGCATCAGTGCACAGACTCTTTTTTGATTTGTAACAAAATATTTAATTCAAAAAATACATTATGATTGAGGCAATCAATTTGGATACAGATACTCGGATATGGAAACCATTGCCTGATTTGGATGAGGGATCTGTGCACTTCCTAATTACTCAATCAACTGGCCGATCGGTAATCACTGAGGGAGCTTCACTCAGCCATGATGTGGGAGTGATCTCAGCCGGGCTAAATGATCGCCGATCGGGTTCCAGCGGCTTCCCTATACCTACCGCCCCGTTTACACAATGATAGCTGGGCAATTAGGTGATGGCCGTAATTACGGACAAATTACCCGGGCTCCGAAAGGGAGTCTGCCAATCCGACTATCCGGCAATCCCGCAAGTCTGACAACCTTCATCAGCGCTTGCATGATTGCCATATTTAGCTAATCTATCAATTATTGCATACAACTAATTGAAAATGGTTTAGGCAAATAATAAAGACAAGTCAGCGAAGCATGTCCAAGTCAAGGTCACGTGATCCGTACTCCGTGCTCCGTGTTCTCCGTGATCCGGAATCAGTAATAGCCTGGGAATTTTCGGTATTACACAAGGGTATAGGAAGCGTTTTCCACCATCTTTTCTTGATCAGATTTAGGGAACTACTTATAAAAACTAGAAACACCAAAGTTTATCTCCTGATGATCCAGTTTTTTTTCAAAAGATAAAGATCATTTAAAGATAATTGTTATTACTAATAAGAGTTTTATGATGGGTATTTAATGGTCGCTGCATTTCTTGTTACCTTATTTTAACTAACTAAACGACTCTCAGTCATGTTTTGACCATCGAAAACCGAATCTTCCATTTGCGTGTCGTCTCCACATTCACTTGTTTGCCTTTTTGCGCAATAAAATGTGTTATTTATTTATTTGTTCCTGAAAATATTATTTATTTAATTAATTTAATACTCTTCCCATTTATTTATTTGCTTAATAAGCGAAATGCGAACAACGAATGGCATACAGTGTGTACTTTACGTGTTTGCTCTTCTCATTTTGATTAAATGCTGTTTCTTTATTTAATCAAATGAGAGTGGGTGGTTGGGTGGTTGTCGGTGGATGGGGATGAGTGGTGTTTTTTTGGAGAGTAGGCGTAACGCCAACGACATGCGACAAATTAAAAGTGCAACGTCAGAGAGCAGGAAATGATTGTGGAGTAGCGAACCCAATGGGCTGAATGCCCTCGATAGGGAATTTCCAAGGAATTTCGTTGCCCTCTTCCCAAACACCTGTAAAAATTTAATTTAAATTTCAAGGGGTACTTAAAAAAGACAATTTTAAACTGATTACGAAAAAATTGTAATCTTAAGCAGGGCTTAAGAATCCCGTCGTCTTTTAAAATTACAAGCTAACACGCAATCATTAAAAGGTCTTGCATAAATGTTTACCAATTTTACTACTAATCAAAGAATAAACTTTTAAAAATAAGCAACTTGTTTGTGCACAAATAAAGAGGAATTATTCAGTTTTATGGCTTAAAAAAGCAAACCATTTCGTAAGCAGTCATTAAAACTAAGAATAGTTTAAGTATTAAAATTACATTTAATCCCAGGGCTTGCGTTGTTTAATTTTGTAATGGAAAACAGATAGATACATCCCGTGGTTTTAATTATTTGTACTGCCACCCTCGAGAGAATAGTTTTTAAGTGCAAACAGGCAAATAAACAGAACGAGCGAACAAACAAAGTTTATAGAGTTATACACGGAACAGTAGCCAAGTACCCTGTGTGCACATCGTTCAGATCCGCACTGCTATATATGCATGTCGCTGAATTGCATGAATTAGGCGCCTTTATTTATCGCATTTATATAACTAACAGTAAAAGTTAAGTAAATATGAAAACAAAAAAACAAAAGCAGACTAAGAAAAAATGTTACGAAATGCAAATAAATAGAATGTCAGCGTTGCGTTTAGCAAGCATTAAATGTCGCTCACGAATCCAAAAGATACAGCTCAACGGATGGGATGCAGTTTCACTTACAGCTCTAGATACAGATACATGTGTAAATATAGCTTTAAAAAATAAATACTTATATATTGGAATAAATACACGCACATTAGTCTCGAAACGCGTGCGCTTTTTTCTTTTGAAATTTTAACATTAATAGTGGGAGTTATATATATAAATTTGATATTTATCGTGACAGCAAAAATAAATAATTTTGTTGAAAAAAGACAAAAAATGTTACTATGTTGCATCGCCATTAGATACATTTAATGTTTTATAGGTCAAAAAAATAATGAAAGTATACTTGAATATTTTTAAAAATTTTCAAACGCATTCTACTGATAATCTTCTGATTCAGGGATTATGTATTATTAAGGTGATTACAAATCCCCTTTTCACCTCCTGAGAATGGACTTACGTTCAGTAATAACCCATATAAGGTTCTAGCCTTTGAATCCAGTGAGATCGGGTCAACACCAGTTCAAAGCGGTCTTTGTGGCCGGTTAGTTAATACGGGTGTTTATGATGCAAACACATTCGATCGGCTCACATCAGCTGTGACCACTATTATACACATTGTATTTGATGCATATGAATTCCGATTATATTGCATTTGCATGAGCATTCGACTCGAAATTTGCATTAAAACACTGCGTTGCAGGATGGTTATGTTATTGGGAAATGAGAAAACGATGGGGACATCATTATAACTTATCTTATACATTTTAGGTGCTTGCAAATGGGAATTATATTTTTAAATATTTCTTAATTCAAGAAAATTTAAATAGGAAGAGTTTTACATATAGGCTTACCAACTATTATCATAGTAATTCAATTTTACATAGTTTATCTAGGAAATGTTTTTGATTTTTAAACCCTTAATCATCAATTAGGTATTATTGGACTTTCAGTCCCGAACCGCACTGTATTCTCTCCAGTCTCGTCCAGGGCATTGAAATCGCATCACAACGATCTCAATCGCATATTGATACCGCCAGCTGTGCCAGTAAATTTGTATAGTTAGCATCGAACAATCCAATACCCTCTAGTAAGGACCGTTCTAGTAAAATCGACCTCAAACAGCACTCAAAATTAAATGTGCAACCGGGCGGAATATGCCGGGTCGAGTGCAGATTTATTACTATTTATATTTTAAATTTATCGTTTGTTGTGAGTTGACTTTCGTCAGCTAATCGCTTGTTTATTGTATTACGACACTGCGCGAGGCAAACAGATAGCAGGCCCAGAAAACAAATAGAGTCATTCGTATTCTATAACATCTCATGGAAAGCGGAAACTACACGTTAACAACTCCCAACAGGTTAATATATTTCATCATCTACGGTATGCGATAACTAGATTGGAACCAATCTATTTAATGGATTGACATTGACATAATCTTAAAGGATACTACATTTATTATCCATTTCTTATCTACTTTAGGAATCAATCACATATGATTAATTAGAACCGTAAAAATATGGAAATATAACTGAAGTTTTGATATATTTCTCCATTTCAGGATAGAAAGTTGCTTAATCTGTTAGCCACAGATGATTCACATGACAAATGCACACCACGTGCATTTAACAATTCATTTAAGAAGAAAACCCCGTGAACCCGAATATGCAAACATTGTAAATTTCCCGAGATCTGCAAAGTCAGTTTAAGAGGGGAAATCGCCATAAACGGAGGAATCGTCACGCGCAATTGCGAATGAGTTCAGTAAATTTGGACGTGGATGTGGATGTGAATGTGAATGTGGATGTGGAGGTGACTGTGATCTGGGGATGGCGCCGCATCTGAGCTTTTGGCAAATACCAGAAGGGGATTACTGGGCTAAGTTCCCATTTCGAGTATGGGGCTTATCGCCAGCGCCACCAGAAATAACCAAAAAAACTGAGAAACTGACAAATGGAAGAGTAAGCATTTCTGGCATTCTGTTTCGAGTGCATGAATATGAAATATTTCGCTTTATTTGCAAATCATTTAGTTAGAGGCATAAACGGTGGGACGCGCCATTGAAGCCGAGCAAACACTACCAAATCAGGTCATAAAAGCAGAGCAGCCGCGTACTATAAACTAGGCAAACAGCGGGAATTCTTCAAGATCTCCTTGTCCAGTGTCAGGGTCCGCTCCCTACACCTACACCTACACCCTGCCCCCCTCCCCCTCACTTGGCGTAGACCTTGAAGAAGAACACGGCACAGGTCTTTAGATCACCGGCGCTCCAGCGGACCACGGCCTTCAAGTCCCCGGCAATGTCCACATGGGGCATATTATTCACAAACGCATGGTTGGTCACGTTCCTCAGGGTGTAAATGTGCTGAAAGTGGTCAAAAATTAACATTAATAAATCATTTACAAAGTATTGAATAAAAATTACGTTTAAATTAAATTATATTTTAACTATGGTGTTTTAAAAAATAATTAATTATAACGATTATTAATGTTAATCATATCAAAAATCTAATTTTAAGAGCTAAACAATTCTTTTTGAACTCACCCCTTTTTTGGGCGGACATATCAACTCAGCGCGGGGCACTTGTCTAAAGATGGGAAACCAGATCTCAACGGGATTTCTCAAGGACTTGCACAAGCTGTCTCGTTTTAGGGAAAGAGGAGTTGGTAGCCATTGGCTCCGTTGCCAGCGAAACACATCGACCTGCATGGCAATGGGACCACTTGGCACTGCCACCAACACCTTGATGTCCCCATTAAAGTGCAGAGTTTCCAGGTCGTCGGCCACGTCGAAGGTCAGGCCACTAATATCCAAGATATCCCGGATCGATGTGTCTCCCTGGGCGTCTTGGGCATCACACTGGACATTCAGGGTCTTCTCATCGCCGATTACCTCGTAGTTGGTGCTCTGAAATTAAAGAAAAATAGTAAAAGTGGATTCTGTTCAAAGGAAACATAAAGTATTTTGTGCTCAAAAAATAAAGAGTATAAGGATGAATATGAATAAACTTACCCGAATTCCTTGCAGGAGTTGCAGGATGCACAACAAGCCAATACTCCAGCCGATCCACTGCTCCATTTCAGGGGTTTTTGATGATCCCCAGTGGATGCAACAATTTATAGGGCCCTCGGCTAATTGCCCGCCAATTAGCCAACGCTATTCGCATTGTTTAACTAATTGCCAAATTAAGTTGTACACATTTTGCTTAATTGCCAATGCAGATAGTCAAAAATGCAATTCAGATTCACCGATCGTAGCACCCTCAAAAAAACGAAAAAAAAAAACAAAAAAATAAAGCAGAGCACACTGAAAACAACAAAGGGGGAATCAGCATTCGGCGGGCGTATTCCGGAAGGTCGAAGCCCGGATTCGTCCGGAAGTGGGTCGTCGTCTCAATGGAACACCCATGTACGCCTACATCACGCATACGTCGTGTGCGCCTGCGGGACAGCGAGTGCGAGTGCGAGTAGCCCATAAAAACAAGCAAACGCACTTGACCCTGGCCAGCCGACCGAGTTGGGCTTGGTTCGCCGATTCTGTTTGTAGGCCATGGCAGTCGTAAAATATTAAATCGGGCCGCCACACGACGCCCATTATCCGTGTTATCCGATAACGGAGAGCTTCTTTGCAATGGCCATAAAGAGCAAACAAGGCAAAAGCCAGAACAGCAGCAAAAACGCGTGGCCATTGCTTATTTTTATGGCGTGGGAGTGGAACACGTCCTCCAGATCAGTAGCATACTTTTTGGGATGCACCGAAAGCAAATTAAAATGTAGTGTCATTATTGTTTGCAAGATAGTTATAATGTACTCCGCGTTTTCTAGAACAAAGTCGAAACCTTATTTTACATTAAATAACACAAAATTAAATGTTTTTAAGGTCTAACCTTCAAATTACATTTTCTTGGGCGAGCTTAAACATGTAATGCTTAATTCTTGTTCAGTTTAAGCTATCTCTATTATTTAATTATTTAACTACAAGTACGCTTTAAGTTATTTCACGATATAATGCAAGATTTCTTATCTGATTAAAGAGATAATAACAACCTTGGCATATCAGTTTTCCAATGGAACTTCATTTTATTTGGTTATTTCGAAAGCATTGTTATTCTATATATTTCTTATAATCGAGCTATCGTTGGACATTTACATTACATTTACACAGGAATTTACATTATGAAAATATAAGTCATTGCTGAACATTATAAATATACAGCAATTCGTATGGACATGTGGTATGTTGTATCTTAATTGCTTACCTAACATTACTTAGTTTTTGATTTCAAATTGAATTACGATACAGAGATTTTCCTGTAGAATTGCTATGAAGCCTAAATTAACTTAACATGATGTTGTAATTTCTATAATAATTTATCACGTGTGGTTTTCAGGGTTGTCTTTGAAATGGTCTAACTAGAATTTAAATAATGTCTACATTGGAACACTTTGGCGTGCTGCTAGTCTTGAATTAGTCTGTTGGGTAAAGCTTGTCAGTGTCAGTGCCTATTGGTTTTCCGTAGAGCACAACTTTGGAACGGATGGACTTGCAGCCAGACGAGCGGGCATCGATACCCCTGATGATCTCCTCTACGTGTTCATCTTCCAGTTGCACTTTCTCGACCCGTGCTTCCCTGCTGATACAGTCAACCAGATGCACGGTTTCCAGAGGGGCATAGGTGATCACATGGGTGTGTGGCAGTTGCTTCAGCGTCTCTAATTCTGCCTCATAGACATCGTCAGACTGCAGACGATTCAAGCTGAAGATGAGCACCACGGTCAATTGTTTCAGGTGCGGCTGCTCAGTGCTATTGGCGATCTCCTCGCGACCCCTTATAAGCTCATTGATGACCGGCACATACTGTCCATCTTCGGGGATCATGTTGTCGATCAGGATGAGATTTTGGCCGCAATGAACGAGATTAGCCAGCATGCTCTGCACCCGACGAACGGATCGAGCGCCCGTCCACGAGAGAGTCTTCACATTCTCCGCCCAGGGAAAATGCTCCCGCAACACTAGCGCCGTGTGGCTCTTGCCCACGCCAGAGGAACCCACCAAGGCGATGGTCTGTTTCATGAAATCAAGAAAATTATAAAAATTAGTATTAAAGATTACAATTTAAAAGCTTCAGAGGCTATTATTAAAAGCTATTAACTTTAACTCATAGATGCCACAGAAAAGATAGGACATACTTGCACATAAATCGAAATGTGGTTATGTTACTCTATATTAGAATGTTTTTGTAACTCCTATTGAAGTCGGAAAAAATATCCTGAAGCTGACAAGGGAAAGTGCGGTGGAAATGAGTCGGAAGTATTGGATTATGGCTACAAGGGCTCCCAAGCTATAGCCTTCCAAAGATCTTTGCTGGAAGAAGACCCTGTTTATTACCTGGAATGTGGTATTGTCCAGCGCCCGCTCCAGCTGCTCCATGGCCTGTTCCTGGTGGAGCACGTGGTACCGGACGTGGTTCACCATGTTGCCCAGCCGATGCAAGCGATCGCAGTAGTTGTCCCGGTTGTGGACAATCGAGTGGTACTGGTTCTTGTAGCTCTCCAAGAATCCGCTGACCGTCAGTGTGTTATCGTTTAGCTGTAGGCACAGCCCCAATCCTGCACAGATGATGAGGAGCAGGCCCCAGGTCCACAGAGGAACCCCCTTGCGTCGCATTTGCTGCTCTTGATCGCGGCCTGGCCGCTTTTCCCCGCTTAGTTCGGTGGATGTCAGGCGACGGAGACGTCGCCGTATCCTTAACTTCGCGGATCGCGACTTGATCTTGAGGAGCACTGCGGCACCCTGCGTTGGAGTTTTGTCTATGGCCATAAAATCACTTTTTCTGATTTTGTGTGAAAAGTTTGGTGCAAACTGATGGAAAAGATAAGAAATGTATGAAGTGTAACTAAAAGTTGTGGGAAAACTAAGATGTTGTCTTGTTGACCAAACTGTATAAAGTGCTGTGTCCGTATGGGCATACGAATACAACTATTTATTAGCCTACTGTGCTTACTTTTTGTGGTAAATTGATCGCAACCGGCAAAAAATGAAATTTAAATGCCGCGTTTTAAGCAGTGTTGGTAAAAGCCGGTTTTACGGTTGTTTGTTGTATTTGTTCTTGCGGTATTTTTATGTTTGCCGGTAGCAACTTTTTTTTTTAGTATTTTATATGAAAACTAGCTTAATGTTTTAAAAATTAATAAAATATTAGCTGGTATTGGAATTTATTAATTAAGATTATTAATAAAAACATGTTCAAAATAAAAAAATGTGAAGATGTCAAAGCTATTTTGAGTGGTATTTTTAAATAGATTTACATTTCAGTATATTTTTTGCATCGAATAATAAAAATAAAAAACGGCCAGCTTGCAACACTGGCTTCGAGGTGTGCTGTGCGAAAATCATCTGTGTCCTGCAATTCTCGACCTATTTGTTATTACAATAATTTAAAGCAGACATCCTTGCCAGTCAATCCGATCCGCAATGACGAACGAGGACGTGGGCACCAACAGCGTCGCCAACCGCCTGCAGGTGGGTCCGCGCGAGGGCGTCACCTATCCGATCCAGATGAAGTACTGCGGACACTGCACGATGCCGATTGAGGTGAGCAATCCGAAAATCCATCTATATGAATATGTATATCCAATATCATGTATATATCCTCGATCCGCAGTACTGCGAGTACTATCCGGAGTACGAGAAGTGCAAGGACTGGCTGGAGCGGAACATGCCGGACGACTTCGAGAGGCTGAAGATCGAGGAGGAGGCAGCCGCCGCCGACGGGACCGATGACGACAAGAAACGCCAGAAGCGCGGAGGCAAGGGACTGCTTCGCGTCAAGAAGAAGGAGGACGTGCCCAAGCGCATCTGTGTTTCCCGGGCTGCCCGCGGCAAGAAGAAGTCCGTGACCGTGGTCACAGGATTGAGCACTTTCGGTAGGTCCCATTAAAAGATCCCAGGCCTTCTTGTCACTTTCATTGCATATCGCCATCCTATATAGAACTCAGAACAGAAAGAAACATGAGATGAAAATAACCTTGCACAAATTTACACATTTCTGTTTTTGGCAAGTTATTCAGATCCTTCTAAAGCATCAATTCCATTGAACTTTTTACATAAATTAAAGAGTTACAGTCATTTACCTATTGTTTATTTCAAGAACTCCTTTAAAATAGAGTGTAACAACTATAACAACTCCTCTTAAAACATCATTCTTATGTTATGTTCATGAAAAATACAAAATTATTGATCTCATTGATTTATTGTCCTATCTATCTTCCTGATTAATCATTTCTTGCTCTTTCCAGACATTGATCTCAAGGTGGCCGCCAAGTTCTTTGGCACCAAGTTCGCTTGCGGCTCTTCGGTGACCGGAGACGATGAGATCGTTATTCAGGGCGACGTAAAGGATGACTTGTTTGATGTCATACCCGAAAAGTGGGCCGAAATCGACGAGGACGTCATCGAGGATTTGGGCGATCAGAAGCGAACATAAATAATTTAATCAATTTTTTAGCTTATTTTATACGCTACATCAAACATAAAAATATGAAACGTTAAACGTATGAAGCTCCTGTGTTATTTTGCTGGCTCCTCCGCGGGCTTTTCCGCTTCGGGTGCGACTTCTAGATTGATTTCAGCTGTTGAAGGAGCATTGGCTGGTGCGATAGTTTCTTTTGCTGGAGTGGCTTCCTCCGTCGGATTTGCTTTGCTCGCAGTTGCCTTTTCTGCTTCCTTGGCCTGATTACCACGCTTCCCAGATTGCTTTCCAGCTGTTTTGGCAGTTGCCTCTGCTGGTTTTTCGGCTGGTGTCTCCTTAGCGGCCTCTTTAGCTTCCTTGGTCTCTGCTCCGTGAAAGTGCTTGTAGCTCAGCTGAATGATCTTCTCGTTCTCCTCATCGGTAAGTGGAGCCTTATTGTCGTCGATGAGCTGGAAAGATTCGATATTGATATTAGAAATTAAGCTTGATTTATATAATTTTATAATATAATTTGGAGCAGAACTAGGTAAATACTAAGGGATCTCCGTGAGACCCCATGTTTTATCCCAAGTTAATCCTCACCAGCTGCGTGTGAAGGGCACTTGTCGGAGGATCGTTTATCATTTGCAGGATCTCGTGGGACTTAAGTCTATAGGAAGAAAGGTCTTTCACATAGTTGACAATGTTCTCGCGGGATTGGGTTTTGCAGGGCGACTCCTCCAGATACTGCAGTGCCTAAGTATTGCAGATCATGGTTAATTTACTATCAAACAGGTGTATTTTTCGAAGAATCAACTTACCTCGTAAGTAACCGTGGCCAAGTTTCGCATGCCAAACTTCTTTTTGGTGCTCTTGATCTTCTGCAGAATCTGCATCACCTCCAGATTGGTGAGATACGAGAACGTGGGATTGATCCTGAGTGGTGCAAGCGAAATAATCAAGTTATTAATACGTATTTAATAGTAAATAAACACAATCCTTACGTTTCCATTTCGAGTCGGCGACTTTATGAGTGACCGTATAGCGGGCGCTGAAATATACCACACCAAAAACTATAACGGTAAATTTCCGTACTGAATGTGTAATAAACTATAATTGTGAAAACATTTTAATAATTAAGTTTTGCACTTACAATGAGTTTTAAATAAAATATATAACACTCTGCTACATTTTTTGGGTTCATTGAGTGCAATTGCGATTTTTACTTTGGATTCTTAAACTACTCGAGACTAGGTGTAACCCAAATAAATGTACAGATTTAAAGAAAAAAAAAGATATAATTTCAAAACAACATTTTTAAAATAGTGCACAAAAATCAATAGGCTTACAAATGTCGGAAAATACTACATTTTATATTTTTGTGTCCACATTTTTTAATTGGCAATGATGCAATAATGTTTGGGACGTGCACCTGAAATTTTGAACCTGTTTAAGAGAACCGTTTAAAAACTAGTTTTACTCCAAACCTTTATGTTGATGTATTATCTAAACGGAATTAGGTCAGAGGACCCCCCAATTAAGTTTGACTGCTTCAATTAGTTATTTTAGAATCGAAAATCCAAATCCGTGAAATACAAAATTTCGATTTTAAAAAATGTTCCAGGAAAAATATAAAACAAAACATTTCAAATGATAATTTAGTAAATATTTATTTGAGAAAAAGAAGGATGTAAAAAAGAACTATCAAAAACAGTTTAATGTACGATTTTCGAATACTGATTGAAATTGAATATTTATATTTGAATATTTTTTTAAATTTCCTTTTATTTTTATACTCAGATAGATTAGCAAACTTTTTTTCTAGAGCTATGATCAAAGTGCATTTTGTATGGTGTTAAAAGTTCGTTATAACTGTAGTGGAAACTAACGAGTCTTCAAATGGAGTGGAAAATACTAAATTGAGTGAAACTTTTAACAGTGCGCGAGAATTGGAGTGAGATTTTCAACACTCGTTAGCGATGACAAACATCGACATCGCGATGTTTGAAAACATTGATGACATCGATGTTGCTATCGCTGGTCTTCCACCACTACTTGGATGCGGGTGCAGGAGATGTGGATTCGGATGTGGATGGTACTGGGATCCAGCGGATAGCATGCACTCCCACACAAATGAAGCCGCGCCAACAGCAACGGCCACGGGAACGGCTGCGGCAACGGCGGGCGTGGTCACGAATGGAGCAGGAGGATCGGGATCGGGAGCAGCAGCGGGTGCACATGGCAGCACAGAGGGCAAGATCCGGTGCATCTTCCTCAGCGAGTTCCATGCGACGGCGGGCTGCAAGATAAGCTGTCAGGTGAGCCGGTTCCCAGGAACACTGCCAACCGAAAAAGCCCCGATAAGCAACGTCTGTTAACCCCACAGGTTCCCGATAACTACATATCCAAGGACGTGTTCGACGCCATCAACGTGTACATCATACCCAAGCAGCACCTGCAGCGCTGCATCCTCACCGTAAACGCAATGGACGTGAAGATCGTCGGCTATCCGGTGGGCATTCAGGATCAACAGAAGTACGCACGCAACGCCTTCCTGTTCAACCTGTGCTTTGTCTGCGATTCGCGGGCGAGGAGCGTCCAGTACGAGCCGGTGGTCAAGAAGCTGTCCGAGTACCTCATCATGATGGAGGAGGAGTCCTGCTTCTTGTCGCGCGAGGACGACAAGCGCCGCCTGCAGAACATCTTCGAGACGGTGCTGCGCGACCTCAACGAGCGCAAGGTGGCCACCATTGTCGAGGGCGACAACACAATATACCTGAAGATTGTCATGCACAAGCCGGATCCGCCGCCGGTCAAGGACCACATGGTGCCGCTGCTACTGGCCAACCTGCGAGATGCTCCTTTGGACAACTGGGACCTGACCACGCAACAGGTGCGGGCCTAGTAGCAGGATGTTAGAAACAACATTTCCATCGAAGAGCCTTTGCTATAGAGCAAAAAATTTAATTTAATCTTTATTAATTGTAATGTGTTCGCCCCCCAGATCCTGCCTTATATCAACGGAATCAATCACGTTGCCCGGATCGCCGCTGAGGCGGACGTGGAAACGGACCTGGTGAAGTCGTGCATCCAGAACCTGGTCTACTACGGCGTCGTCCAGCTGCTGCCCATCCTGAAGTACAGCAATGTCTACATGACGCAGAACCTGAAGCATCTCATCCAGAGTGCGGCACTGAGCGGCGCCTGCCGGAAGTACGTGGCCCTGCGCCCGGAAAAGACGCTGCCCAGTGTGCAGCGCATCTTCCAGTTCTACGCCTCAATGACGCACGGCGTCACCCTGCGGGCCATCTGCCAGCGATTGTCCCCTCAGCACCACAACATCGACGAGCGGCGAATGGTGATCTTCGGCCTGCAGCACCGCTTCATCCGCTGCATCCACAAGTACCCGGTGTTTACGGGCTCAGTGCCTTCTGGGCGGCAGAAGATGTACACCGGGTTGATCAGCTTCGACGAGATCTGCTGCAAGACGGGCCTTTCGCCCTGCACCATCGAGCGGGACATTGAGAAGGACACGAATGTGACTGTGATCTGGAAGTGACGACGAAGACGACGTCGCCGGGTTTGTTGTAGTTTGTAGGCGAACCGATTGTTATGTTTCCAATAGCTTTTTTATATAAACATATATACACATGAGAGGTTAATGATTCGGTGGTTTGAATTGGGCTGGTCCCGTACTTGGACAACAATCAGGAAGCTTCTCCCCTGGAGAGAATGGCATCCTGCACCGCCTGGGCCACACAGGCATCCTCAGAAGCCATGCCTGTAAAATTAATTAATACAAATTAGTGTAACAATAGTCAAAGTTATTAAAGTTTCATTCAATTCATAAGTTTTAGAATTTATAAAATAAATGTAGTTAGTAACAATGATAAAGATTAAGAAATAGTTAAAATAGTTTATTTTGTTTAAATACAATACATTAAATATCCGGTAGATTTACGTTATAAGATGTCGTATTTCAAATAATTTTGATTTAAATTTTGGAAAAGACAGAGATAGCTTTAATTATGAAGGGCTGATGAAGTAAATTTAAACTAATTTGACAAATCGAATACGCACCCATGGATTGGAAGACCGAGATGGCCGTCTTCTCGGGGTAGTTGCCATCAAGGATGATGGCTCCCAGCTCGGCGGTGATCGGGACTGGAAAACCTTTTAATTCGGCCTCGGCATTAGCATAGCAATCCACATAGACCTGAGCTTGGCGGTAAAGATCTGGAGCCACCTCCGAAAAGTGACAGCCTGGACCGGCACCCACGGCTGAAATCGGAAAATAAGTAAGTAATTGATTGTTTGAAAATATCAGAAAGACTCACCATTAATGTGAACGCCCTGTTTGCTTTTCAGATCTTCAATGTGGATGAGAGCCTCCTTGGAGAACGTGGCAATACAAATGACATCAGCATCCTGGCAAGCTTCCTTGGCACTCCGACACACTGCAATCTGCGTTGCGCTTTCGCCTCTCAGTTCCCGCTGCAGTTGCTCCGCCAATTCCTGCGCTTTCGCCTCCGTGCGATTGTACAGATTGAGTTGCTTCACCCGGAAGTGCTCGCAAAAGGCGGCGGCATGGAGCTGCCCTTGTACTCCACAACCAACGATGGCCACGTTGATTTCCCTTTCCGTCTCCGCCAGCGAACCAAAACGACGGAAGTACAGATGCTTGGTGGCCACCAGTGAAGCGGACACAGTGCGCCAGGTGGTCAAATCCGTGCCCGCCATTATGGCCGATAGTTGACCGGTTTGGTTGTCGAATAGCAGGACATGGGCATGGATGCTGGGTAACGGAGGATCACGCTGCGGATTGCCACCAAACGAGGTCACCAGCTTGCAGGCCAGTGTGGAGCGCGGACTGACCACTTTCCCTGGAGATTCCTCCGATGCTATGCTGTAGTTACCCACAAATGCCGGCATGGTGAACAGAATCTTATTGGAATTATCACCACAGGCGGTGAAACTCCTTTTCGGTTGGATGGCAAAGGATGATCCAGGTGGTTTCTGATCTCGGGGCTTAACTACTGCTTTGAGTGCCGATTCCACCGCTTCATTGACCAGCGGCCAGTTGAGAACGCGACGCACTGCATCCGCATTATAATAAACTGGAGATTTGGCGCTCATTTTCGTAAGTTATTGTTTTCTGTTTACGCTTTTTTTTTAAACCCAGTTAGGTCGCAGTTCTATGAATTTCTTTTAAATTGTTTAACCTTTCACTATAATTTAATGAATGCTTTTTAAAAAATGGGAATTTATGTTATTGTAAATATGTAAGGATCAAAGATCACTTTTACCAGTGATGGTAGTTTTAGCGGAAAAGGCCAGTAAGTAAACTGTTATTTTAAATGTAAGCAATAAATTTAAAGATTTTAAAATTTGCTTAGATTATCAACAGAATTATATAATTCCAATTAGATTGTTTCTTTTATGTGTTTCGGCCAAAAACAGCATATTATCAAATTAATAACATTTTATAACAATAATGAACTAAAAAATACCGTTAAGTTTATTTCACGCATATCGAAAATAAAATTCGATTAATTAAGTCATGGAAAAGCGCGTAAATTTAAATTTTCAATTAAAATGTGAAATGGATTGGACAAACTTAAGTTCAATTTGAATCAGGAAAAATCAGTAAATATCTTGAGTTTCCCGCAATGAAGAAAAAAAAAGGAGCCTCAAATGGGGAAAAACCAACCGAAAACCAATTTTCACGGGCGACTGTTTTTCCTCATTTCTAATGCAGTTTTCCCCATTCTTCGGCGTCGCTGGGAAAATGCATTTTCACCGCACGCCAAGGGCGAAACCGCAGTGCAAAAAAGGGAAACCGCTTCTGTTAACGGCTTTATCGCGCTGAAATAATTCTCGCGAACATCTGGAAACTGAACCACAGCCCGTCCAATCCAATTCAAACCTCAACCGACACGAAAGTGAAAAGCGAATGCACTTTTCCGCGGCTGCAGCTGATAGGAAAAATTAATTTTTGCCCCGCCATTGTCTTGTCCACGCCATTTCATTTTCCCAGCTGCTAATTCAAATTTTGACATAATTTCTTCACTGTTCGCCTCCGTCGCCTGCTTTCTCGCTTTTGTCCCCGTCCAATTTCACTTGACTTGACCTTTGCGCGACTTTTCCATGGGTTTCCATGTACAGGCAAAAAATATCGGAGTTCTATATTATCATTTCGAGTGTTCGTCGCCAAATTTGAATTCGCCTAAAAATTCTGAATCATATATAACAGGAAAATATCCCCCTATGATTTTTTTTCGAAAAAATTGTTTTCACGAAATTCTTTTTCTGAGGATACAACTTAATTTGAAATTTTGTAACGAATTCAACGGGGTATGACATTCCAACATTCGACCACTATTTCCCAGGGTTCTGATTAAAAAAACCCAAAAATCGAGCTTATTTTGGACAACATATTTTTTCAAAGGAAATGATTTTTTTTTTCAAAAAATTTGTTTTCACGAAATTCTTTTTCTGAGGATACAACTTGATTGGAAATTTGATAACGAATTCAACATTCCAATATTCGACCACTATTTCCCAGAGTTTTGATTAGAAAACCGAAAAATCAAGATAATATTTTTCGGATTTTGGCCAAAATATTTTTTATAAGGGGTAACAGGGGGATGAGTACAGTACAGTAAAGTACAGTAAGTACAGTACAGTCAGACCCAGAAAAGTGATTTCAAATTTTTTTAGATTTTCGAATATGAGAGGTATACCAAAACGTTTTTCTCAGTGTATGGGCTTGGGTTTCGGGTGGGTCCGGAGCCTTTTGTGGTGGTTGTGCGGTGGCGGCCTTGGGAATGTGCAGTTGCAGGCTGATTTATATTCGCCCCGGAGTGCCACAAATCAAAGTCGAGCTGCTGCAGCTGACTCATTGGAGCGGCTCCCGGTTCGGCGACGCGACCTGTTGCATGCCCCACTCCTGGAACCATGGCGGCGGCACCACCAGAACTAGCAGAACCACCAGAGCCACCAGAACCACCAATCGCACCACCGGCAGCACCACTTCTAAGTGTTTTGACCTTGCTGGCGGGTAAGTGGCTGGCAATAAATTTTGGCATTGCGCAAAAGCCACCGCCAGCCTGCTGAAAAAACGCCCCGATTCTGATTTCGATTCCAATTCCAATCCCAATCCCAAGAATCCATATCCGAAAAGTGAATTGTCGTCGACGCTTTGAATAAATTGCTAAGCGATTTGGCAAGCGCCAAAATTTAATGACCAAAAAGGATTTCGCCTCGCTGAGCATAAATTTTCCGGCCAAAATCAATGACGAGGCGAACGCTGATTGAATTTATTGGCGAACTAAAAGATTTTGTCTTGGATTTTGAGCATATATACATATAAAACTAAATATTATGACTATATCATTTCTGTAGCTTAATAATTAATGATAAAACAAACATAAAAAATATATTTTACAGCCTAACATAACTTTCAATTTAAATTGAGTAATATTTAATTTATTATCATTTTGTTGTTAAATACTATCTACAAGTTTGACTCACTGCTTTTTCTTTATGGCTTCAAGATCTAAAGCTATATTTAAATTTCATTGCGTTTGTTAAATATATCCATATAAATTTATATTTAATTATTTATTCTTTTTAATATATTAAATGAAAACACATTAAACTGCTTCATAAATAATTAGTCTCATAACTATTAATCAATTTAAATACGTTTGCTTTCAAAAAACTCAATGTCTTAATTAATTATATTTTTTAAATATATTGAAATAGATTTCAAATACTTAAGGAACATGAAGCCTTTAGCAACGCTACTGAGTTTTGGCTTCATGTTAATAAAAAGCCAACTCAAATTTTTTCATTTATGCCATTTTGGCTGGCGGCTTTTGAAATTGTAACTGTAACGGTAACTGTAATAGTTATAGTAATAGTAATAGTAATAGTAATAGCAATGGCAATAGCAATCGTCTAGTAACCACACACAGAAACAGAACGTTGCCACACCTTTTCTTCGCGGAGCTGGATTTTAATTTTTTACTGCCTTATTTTTGTTAAGTCTGTGTTTTTGTTTCGGTTTTTGTAATTGTTTTAGTGCGCGCCCGCACACTTGGCTAACACAGATACACACTCACACTCACACTCGCAGCACGTAGGTTAGAAAAAGGAAAGTCGGCAACGCGAAAAACTCGGAGCTGAAGTTTCGTATTTTGTATTTTGTATTTTGTAGATCAATCTTGGAATGGGTTTGTGCCGTTAGCCGTCGGCGACGTCGTCGCTCACTAAAATGTTGTTTGTCCTTGGAGAATGTGGCAAAAAAGATAGAAAAATGGTATGGAAAAAAATTTTAAAATTATAATATACATATGCGCACTGTTACCGTTGCGGTGCACATGAAAAAAATGCACTGTAAATTCAGTTTATAAATATTGTACACAATGGAGGATCTATCTTCCATGCTTCCATAAAAAAAGTCATAAGCTTTTTTTTAACAAAACTTTTTTGATTTTTGAGACATTCCAAAAAGTATATATAAAACATTAAAACCATTTTTTGCGATGTTGAAACTCTGAATTTATGATATATTTATAGAATTTGTAACAGAAAATAACCAAAACTTTTGTTAGATTTTTATAACTATTTATTGGGTAATAAAACACACAGGAATATTTTATGAAATTATAATACGAATTTAGAATATTGTATAAAATGTGTGTTTTGTAAACGTTATTAACAATTGTTGGTTAAAAAAATGTTTTTAAGAAAGTTTTGGAGGTCGTAAGCAGGTTTTTTTTTTTGTTAAAAAAATTTTTAAAATAAATATTTCCAATACAATAATTATTAAACAAAGGTGGATGTTAAAAAAAAATTGAGACAAAAGCTTGGTTTTTTTTGTATATATAAGAAATATGGATAGAAAATTTAATTAATTCTGGAAAAATAAGTTTTGTTTATCCTTTTTGGTACAAATGAACTACGGACATTTGTTGGTGATTGTTTTTTTCAGTGTTGAGATATATGTGTGCACATATCTGACGGCGACTATAATTGTGCCGTTATGTTTAGCGTTGGCGCCGCACCCAATGGACTCCACTGAGCTGCCCGCTCCCGCTCCCGCTCCCCCTCCCCTTCCCCACAACCCATTCCCGCCCCCTCCCACCCATTGCCCCATCCCCCGCTTCCCGCTCCGCCAATTAGATTCGATCGGCAAGTATTATTTCTTGTTATTGTTGTCGGACTCATTGCAACCATTGCCTTAGTTCGCCTTTGTCTAATGATTTCGATTATTGGTTTGTTTTATTTTCCCCCTTTTTCTCTGGTTTTGTACATTTTTTTTTGTTTTATACAACTTCCGTCTGTGCACTTTGCATGGAGCATAAAAAATATAGAATGAAACTAAACTGTTAGTTGGGTGATAAATATTACCCATTAAGGACAACAATTCTCAGTAATAGTAATAAAATAAACATGACATAAGTATTTTAGAGAAAGCTAATTTCCATAGATTTATTTGAATTGTTTTACATTTTTCAGGTGTAATTTGAAAAAAATATGTATGTTGTAAGTTACTTATAGAGATCCTCTAAAATGTCAATTCAAATTTAATTTTTCTTGGTATTCTTTCGGAACAGCATACTATTATTTAAATAAATTTTACAATAATATATATATTTTTTTAATATTTTGTTTGTTGGCGACCTTTCGATGATTATTTTAATTATAAACTTTTGTTTTGAATTTTTTCAACCGTTGACCTCGAGCCGGAAAAACTTTAAAATAATATTTTTTAAATAAATTAAAACCAAAATTCTATTTTTGGAAAACTATAATTTTAATGAACTGAAGCTAACAAAACAAAGTCGCTCTTCTAAAATGTAGTATGCATTTTTGGTATATCTTAAATGACTTTATTTGAATTACATTTCGAATTCAATTTAAATCAACACATATAAGCCGCCTATAATATAAGCTTTAAGTTCAAATGTGCGTTAATAGGTATATTTCAGGACCTCCAACAAAAGCGGTTTTCTTTTGGGCCTGCAATTTATGTGGTGGCCCTTAATGAGCCTTTATCCCTGCAATTGCCGCACTTCAACTGCCCGACTTATTTCTGCTGCCTTTTTCGAACGCCCACTGACTAATCCAGGGCTTAATATTTCCGAGGCCTATGATTAGCATATTCCCCCCCCCACTCACCCCCCGAAGCTTGGGCCGTGTTTCGTTTCCACTAACTTGGCCCGTTCCACTGGCTTTCAGTCGTTTCAGCCACGATCGCTTGGGGATCGGTTGTCTTCGTCTGGGACTTTTCGGCTCGATTCGCTTCCAGACGGGTCTGTTTTTATCAGCCAGTCAGTCAGTGTTTCGCTTTCGGCCAGAGCTGACGAATTCCCTCTTCTCGCTTTTAGCCCGGCCAAAAGGGCAAGAGAATCGTTCAAACAC